AAAAAAAAAAAATGAAGGTACCATAAGAACACCATTAGGAATGACAATTTTAATCAACAGTTTATAAGAAACAACTTGTTTTTTTCTGGGATCTCTACAAAGTAACAAATGTAAACACATTACATGATTATATATATCAGGACTAGCTATGGCTAAGTTTCAGAAGGATGCTACCCCATGAAGGAGAGTCTGGGGGGCAGGATTCAAACAAATAAGAAAAATATAGGTGTCTAAAGGTGAGTGTTCAGAGGAATACAGATGACTTTTGAATGAGCAATAAATCATTCATAGAAAATAATCAAAACATTATTCATAGGAAAATAAAAGTATGTTTTTAAAAAGCACAGGGTAGATAATGATCTCTTGAGCCCTTTTTCTTTCTATTTTTTTTTTTTTTTTTTTTGGAGATGGAGTCTTGCTCCATCACCCAGGCTGGAGTGCAGTGGTGCAACCTTGGCTCACTGCAACCTCTGCCTCCTAGGTTCAAGCAATTCTCCTGTCTCAGTCTCCCGAGTAGTTGGGACTATGGGTACGTGCCACCATGCCTTGCTAATTTTTGTAGTTTTAGTAGAGACGGGTTTCACCTTGTTGGTCAGGGTGGCCTCAAACTCCTGACCTCAGGTGATCTACCCGCCTTGGCCTCCCAAAGTGCTGGGATTACAGGCCTAAGACATTTTATAGGATAAATTACATTAGAAGATAATTATTTAATTTGCTAGTTATCTCAATATGAGATGGAAAGTTAAGACACAATGAATTTGCATGATTAAAACAAACAAACAAGCACCATCTAGACAAACTTTCCTTGTCCTGGAAGGGTAAGAAGGTAAGTCTAAATCAGATTATTTACATTAAATATTACTTACAAGTGGATTCTTTTCTTTTTCCTGAGACTAGCCAAGGGATAAAAACATGACTGGAAACCTATGTTAATTTTGAAACCAAAGAACAATGTAAAGGTAGAGGGAAACATTACTATGGGAAAAATTCCCAGTGTCACAAAAAGGCAAACTGCCTATCTGGAAAAAGAGTAGAGCAATTAAATAGATAGTTAATTCAAATTACAATTATAAAATAACTATAATTCTCCTGCTAAGGCAATGAACTGAATTCCAGCTACAGGCTTATCTAATTCTAACATTTATGCTAAACTAAGGTCATATATTTACTTTGCTAAGTACCACTTTTATGATAGACTCAGCCTGCATTGTTAGTTACAAAGTGAGTTTTATTATATGCATATGGTGGGTTATGCTCTGTACTTACTTTAAATATTGAAATATAAGGATATTAAAGTATAAATATGATCATTATACTTTATTATATTAACCCTTCTATAGACCAACATGGGCAACTATGTTCTTAGAGACGTCATAGAAATTTCTTAAATCTCCTACCTATCCCTGAGAATGGTCCAGAGCTCTCCACCTAGACAAGCTTCCATCAACATATACAAATATTTGCTGTCCTTGAATGTTCTGTACAGTCTGTAAATTGCAAAGAAGAAAACAAAGGTTATAAACATTACTGTCTTTTACAAGTGTGCAATTTTGGGGGGACCCAGATTATAGTTTTGATTTGCCAAGCTCAAAATTTTGTCAGAATGAGAGAGATCTAAGCCCACATAGGGAAAAGAAGCCAATGGCTCATGAATAAGGATTTTAATAGGAGAAACTAGGGTGCTAATCTCTCCCTTGAAATGGATTAATCCTAATGATTATGGACAAAGAGGGCTTCTAGAGATTCTTTCCATTCCAATTTGGGTGATGTTTCAAGCATGGACTCTTGGGGTAACATTTAGTCATCATCAACATGTAATGAAAATGGATATAAAGTGGATTAAACTTTATAAATTCAGACATGTATAAATTTCATGTGCTACTCGCTTAAATTCATCCTGTTAAATTACATCCTGTTCTCAGTAAGTGTCATTGGAAAATTCACTATAAAAAGCTGCTTCTGCATATAAAAATCTCCTCATTATCCATTTATTAGTACTGAGGTGGAATGGTCAGCTGTCATTTTTTTAGATCTTCAAAAAATGTTCAGATAATTAAAGGTTAAATAGTTTGATTTTAGATATTTTGTCTTTTAAGCATCAGAGGTCTATGTAGAGTTTGGGGGTTTTAAAAAGGATAAAAATGTAATGTTAGAAATTCTGGCACCTCTTTTGGGAAAAACACATTGTTTTCAGATACTGATTCTCTTTTAAAGGAAGAATAGAATCAGAAGTTTATTTTTAAAAATCAAACAACTTTCTTAAGGTTAGATTAAAAATAAGTTTCTTTGTATATATGAAATATATTAACAGCAAGCGCAAGTGGCAGAGGGTTTTGTGGTGGATTTGCCGCTTGGAGTTGGGTACATCTTTCCCTGCGATGGGGCCTTTACCTCACTATGAAGTCGGAATGAGCTCCCTGCATGATCTGCTTCTCTGAGCGGATGTGCTCCTGCTGTCTTGTGTCCACAATGTGACGTTTCTTGAGAATCTTCATTGCAAACGTTTTAGATTCTTCACTTTTCAACTGGACCTTAAAGAAAGAGAGAAGGTACTAAGAAAAAGCCCACAGACTTATAAGAGTACATTATTATTTCAAAATTAACAGATACATGGAGCACTTAAATGAACCTCAGCCCCCACCCAAGTCACACACACAGGAAATCCTTGCTAGAGCTGGGTTTAACATCCAGGGCTCACACCTATCATCCAGTCTCATGCCCTGTTACTGGCTGAAATTTAACTAACTCAATTCCAAATTAATTTTGTTCACATGTGGACTAGAAGAGGGAAAATGTACTTCGTTATAGTTTTATTATGTCATTTCTTAGCATATATTTGAATACAATTTATGGTTTTTCTTCTTCAATCAAAAAAGTAGAAAAAATTAACTTCTAGTTTTATTTAAGTAAAGATGTCCAAAATAGGGTCATACAGACCTTTATGTTCTTCCTTCTTAGTTCTAGTCTACAAACATTTCTAGAGTTTTTAACTTGAGTGGTGGACCTTAGTCTCTGCTGAGACTGCAGACTGTTATTTCTTCAGTACTGGCTGTATTCATTTCCTCTTTTTAACTTTGCGGAATTTTCCCTCTCTATAGTTTAAAGAGGAAAAAAAATAATGTAACAAGATTTTTTTTCAACAGATTTTGAAAACCGTTTGCTTTTCTTCTTAAATATGCATGATGGCTTCAGTTCCTTTGACCTCAAACTTTACTCTCTACTAACCGGGAAGACCTTGAGATTTAATATCTTTCAGTGTGCCATGCCTCTCTTGTAGCTCACATGGCTTTCAGTGGCTCCAAAGGAGGCAAGGGACTTCCAAATGCCATACCTCAGACAGGATGCTATTTATTGTTTTACAAGAAATTTCAACAAGGTGACTTGTAAAAAAAACAAGAGAGATAATAGAGCTAATGACTTAAAAGCAATATAAGGGTGTCATCATCTAGTGCTCTCAAGCAGCAGAATCCTCAATATGATACAAAACAGCCACATTATTTGGAGGTAATGAAACCTTGGGGAAATAACATGGCATGCTGTTTCTGCTTTTCACTTGAAGTATGGCTGTCCCCTCTTTAGTTGTTAATTATTTACTGCTTCATCATCAGGGATAGTGAAGTTCTTAAGTGTCTTGTTCCTGCACACATGTACAGATTGAGTTCAAGCTGAGAGGACATTAATGTGGCAAGTTCCTTAGGAGGGAGCATGAAAATACTGAAAATAAATGGGCCTCAGTTAGCTGCCAGAATCTGAGAATCTGTACGACAGGTAGAGGGAAAAATGGGTATTTGAAAATGCCTTTAACAGCCAAAGGCTCTCTGCCCTGTCTGTGAAACTCAAAGATGACAGATTAGTGTGATACAAGTAAATTCAGTCGCAATTCATAATAAAATGCAAAATGTGAAAACTCACTTCTAAAAGAAATCTGGACAGCTAGGGAAGATGGCATGAAAATGAGCTACATTAGAGTACTACAATTCAGAGAATAAGGAGTACAGTCATATTCCCTCTTCAGAGCCATACCCAGTTTAACCAGTGAGGAGTCTTGTGTAGTTCAAAAATGCCTACTGTGAAAATTATTCTCTTTAGTGATGATAATGCAGATTTTTTCATGCTTGTACACAAGGTCGGAGGAAAGAATTCAGCCTTTATGGTCACAGGTCTGGACTTGAATTCTGACTCTACTTAGTATCTCTCAGTATAAGCAACTAGTGTCTCTTGGGCTAGTTGCTTAACTGCTCTGAGTCCTATTTATGGCTAACGATAATACCAGATACCACAGTTATTGTGATCCTAAATGAGAACCTGCCACCAAATGGTCATTCATTGACAGACTCTCTGCTTGTACCCAGCAATCTCTACTGAACAGGGCAAATCTAATGTTGCTTTTTCAGAGGAACAAACTGATTTCCCAAAACGGTTCATATCTTTCCCAAAGTTACAGAGTTATCAAGTGGCAGAACTGGATTCATATTCAGGTGTTTTTTGGCCCAAGCTATTTCCAGTATATACTACTTCGCTTCAGCTGAATACAAAAACAATTAAATGCACAGTGATTGATACTTTACAAATCAGAGTTTAATGGAATTGGCTAACTCATGGACTGTGAGATACACTGAACAATATGTCTACTACCTTTAAGTTTAACTTGTGCGAGGCATGTGATTTGGGAGAACAGCCAAGTCCTCACTGACGTTTTCCTAGGCACTTCCAGGGACCTCAATGTGTTAAGGGTTTAGGGTACCTGATTGCTTGAATACTACAAGGAGAAGCCAAGTGGAGTAGGAAGAGCGTAATGAGAGCTGGTGGGTGGCAGATGCCATGAGAGATAGGTAAAAGCTACAGAAGTTCCTGGGAGTCAGGCTTACTAGCTGCCCATTTAAAAAGTATTAATTACAAAAAGTTTATAGAACTATACTGCTAACCTACTGAGGCTTTCTGCTTTGCCTTTACTTTGCAGGGAAGCAGTTCTTAGGTCTACAATCATCTTCCTTCTTTGCACTCTGTACAAGACTCATGAGTTCCTTAGAGGCAGGGCCCTTAGAACCTCCACTTCCAATTTAAACTGGAATGACACAAGACTCACAGAACCCAGGATCCTAACCAAAATATTCGGGGTTCCTGAGGACCACTGGTTGAGCTAACTCAATAGAGACAGTCAAGAATGTTGAAGTTAATTATTTGCATAAAACCCAAGTAACATATTCATCAGAAATCTTCTGACAAACCAGCTTATTTATGATCATTCAAGAATGTTCAATTCAACATTGTTTCTAATGGAAAAATTTATAAACAATCTAAATTTCTAGAAAGAGGAGGAGTTTGCAAAATAAATTATGGTATATTCATGCAATGCAACTGTAAAAATGACTTAGAATTATGTTTAACATTATGAAAAAATAACCAAAACATATGTATAAATAAAAGATATTGATTATAAGACAGCATACATTTTATGATCTCACAAGGTGTTTGTATATTAGTGTGTGTGTGTCTGTGTATATATATATATACACACATCTATATGTGAAATAAATTGATGAAGACACAATCACAAATGTGTTCATTGATAGGTTAACAATGGTTTTTCCTTAGGGAGATTTTTAGTTGATTTTTACCTCTTTTTACTTTTTGAACTGCTTAACTTTTGAATAATCATCGTACCTTGCCTTTACAATGAGTAAAACTCTAGTCATGAAGAAACTTCCAAGTCTCTTTTAAATTGTAACAGATATTTATTATTATTGTTTGAATCTTTCTAACTGATTTTGGTTCAACTAGAATTCCATGAATGCAAATTTTGAGAAATTGTACAGAGCATAACAACCTATTTACGGCGGGGGCTGAACCACTCACTACCATCTTCTTTCAGCGCTGGCCACAAAATTTTTTTTCAATATCATCTCTAAGTAAGTTATAGCAATTTGTATTTGGTGAGCCTAAGATATTATGTTTTATTATAAAAATATTTTAACAAACCTAATCCATGAAGAATGTTAAGGTGGCATTTAGTTTGCTTTTCATTTTTCCTGTTGTCCAAATTAATTATTCCAAGTCCACGTGTGCTCATTTGAGATGATGACGATGATATTTTAGCAAGTCAGTTAGAGCTATGAAATTACTTTTGAGTATAAAAAGAGATCAGCAAAAGAGGAGAACAGGAATGCATATTTTTGTTCTTTCTCTTGCCCAGGAATCCTTCCCAGCCTAGATAGTTATGCATGTTCCTCAGGTTTGTCTTCTTTTTGCAGACTATCCTAACCTTCCAGGTGGCCAGGCTAATCCTCTGGTTAAGAGTGTGACTAGTGTGATATTTGAATGATTTTTGTTGCAATCTCAACCTTTTTTTTTTTTTTTGCTTGTTCTCTTGAACAAGTTACTCTCTGCTTTCATTTCTTCATCTATCATATAGGGATATCCTGATAGGTTACCTGTGAAAACTAAATAAAAGGGTTTATGTATCAAAGTGGGGGGAGGGAGAGAGAAAGCCCTAGATTGAGAGACTGTGAATATTTTATCCTACTAGATTAACTGTGCCAAAGGGCAGGTTCACCAAAATCGGCCAAAGGTCTATAATAACACATCAACAATCAAGAACATCAGTAAACAAATCATTAGATGCTCTATAAATACATAAGCACTGTGGTGTTCCATCTCCATCATTTTCCAATACTTCCCTATTGCCAGAAAGCTCTTCACAGCCTTGTAAGACACTGGACTTCAAGTCTATGTTCAGAAAACAATGTAAGCATCCTGGTCTGCGGCAGTGGAGTATAATAACAAAGCTGAAGCACCATGTACAGAAGCTATAAAACTGCCATGAAATTCAAGAGGAAATAGGCATGAAGTTACTATACATTAAATAACTGGGTATTTAGATTACTAAAATAGATCATACACATAGAAAATTAAAAAAAAATGTAGTGTAACACAAAATTTTAGCATCTAAATATATGTACCAGAAAAGGTATATCTCAAGAGACAGAAAGTAGATGAGAGGCCAGGTGTGGTGGCTTACGCCTGTAATGCCAGCACTTTGGGAGGCTGAGACAAGTAGATTGCTTGAGCTCACAAGTTTGAGACCAGCCATGGGCAACATGGCAAAACTGTGTATCTACAAAAAACACAAAAATTAGCTGGGTGTGGTGGTGCGGGCCTGTAGTCAGTCCCAGCTACCTAGGAGGCTGAGGTGGGAGACTGTTTGAGCCTGGGAGCTGGAGTGAGCCGAGATCTAGCCACTGCACTCCAGCCTGGGTGACAGAGCAAGACCCTATTTCAAAAAAAAAAAAAATGTACCTGAGGATGGGAATGGAGTATTTCTAAATGGGTACAAGGATTCTTACTGGAGTGGTAGGAATGTTCTAAAACTGAGTTATGTGATGGTCATTACAATTCTAAAAATCACTGAATTATACACTGAGAATGGGAAAGTTTTATGGTATGTAAATTATACCTCAATGAAGTTGTTAAAGAACTTTCATAAAGAGAAAGAACTCATAATTTCTCAAATCTACAACTTCTAGTTATGTAT